ATTTTAACGAAATAGTGGATTACGTACTCAGGCTAGAAAAGTATTGGTAAGTACATGGATATGTGAAAATTGACATTAATCTATTAATTAACTTTCTATTTAAATAGCAGTAGTAAAAGATTGAAAGGCTCGAACTTTTTCAGCTTGGGTTGGCTCGTAGAACGAAATTTGGAGTACCGAGTTGATTTAAGTTTTCGAACTTTCCCATTTGTCGAACATTCTGAATTTTTTCAACGTTTTTTAAAAATTCCCACACATCATTTTGCTTTTAACTCAGTAACAAAGAAGCTTGTGCTCTCGAATTCATGCCGAGCATTCGCAGAGTACTAGTAGCGACTATTTATTGAAGTACTTTGATTAGTGTCGAAAAATCAAAAAGTTCTTACTTGTCTTTTTTTATATTGATGAAGATTAATTAATAAAAATCTAGAATAATATAACTAAAAACATAGGAATCAATGTTATTTATATTTACAAAGTTTTCCTCGACGATGGAGAATCAGGTTCTAGTAATAGCCAGTTAGTTTGAAAGGTGAGTCGGATGAATGCGGGAGGATTGAGAGTATAGACTTGATTTACTGGTTTGGTAGAGAGACGAAAGCCGAAGAAGGAGGAGGAGGAGGTAGAGGAGAGGAAGATCAAAAGTAGCCCTCTTTGAATAACAAGCCTGATGAACCGCAACAAGTCGCGGCGGCAGCCTGAATTTCACGGAAGAGCGACGAAAGAGAGGCGGAAGTAAAGGAAAATATGTTATGCCAAGCGGACGCCGAAACCCGATTACCGGCAATTCATTTTCGCCCGTTGTTCCATTATGCTGGTGGCTACTGGATTAAATGAAAGGATGTATGAACTCGAGAATTGCTCGAGCTTTTTTAATTGCATTTTCGGCTATCTATGTTTTCTTTTTATTCTGGTTTTTCTACTTGTCCTGACCTATATTTTTTAAATTTTAACATTTAGCTAAACAATTTATGCATTCGTGTAATACAGAACATAATTGAAGGAGTATTTTTATTCTTTTTTAAATTTTGTTTCAATAATTTGCTTAACAAACGTGTGTAAGTGCTAGTTGGGATCAAATAAAGTCTAAAGATTATCATAAAATATATTTAGCTTAAATTAAGTAATTGTGACGTTGTAGTTACGTTATACTTCTAGGTACGTCTAAGTTTGATGCAATCTCGGAGTTTATTATTTGCCAGAAGTTTTCGATTTCCTACGTAAACTGACTGGGATTATCGTTGATAGGGAGTACCGCCTTTCTATGTTATTTGTCGTTTATTAAATATTCAGTTCTATACATTTTTTATATTGATTCTTTTACATGTTAAAATTTTTTATGCAACATAACGAGAGATGTCGGAGAAAAGTAAAAACCTTATGTAAATAAATTTTATAACGCTCGCTTGTTTAAGCGAAGGTTTTCTAGCTGCGCATCAGTATTATAGGTTTTTCGTAGCGAGGAAGATCGCAGTTCCAAAAGGCCTAGGCCTATACAATTTTTTATACATCATGTTTACACTATAATCACGAATCTTACTGTGTGGCTGTCTAGTCTTCAAAACCTCGGAATTTCCTTTTGGATTATACATTTGATCTTCTTTTTTAAAGATTTCTTTAAGAATTTCTTCATATAGAAAAGAAGAATTAAAGAAAATTTTTAATTTTCAATGTTGAATCTGAGTATTCTAAAGTTATTATAATGGTGTATAAATGATATAAGCAGACAGTAGTTGAATATTGAATAATTATAGTTCAGTTTCATTAGTTGATTTGTAAACGCTTTTTTTAAGGAGATTTTCATCTTCATCAAATCTAACGATTGCTGTATTTCCAAGTTTGTTGAACATCTCATATGAATAACCTAATATATGTGATAATTTTCTCTTTTAAATTTATATGTAAAGCAATTGAACAAAGTTGGTAAAAATTCCATTTCGTATAAAATTGTTAAAAAGAACTTGACAACTTGATATGTAAAAATATTATGGAATTGGAATCATTTCGACGCAATTGAAGTTCATCACAATATCCGATGGAATTCAATTGCCCGAAATAATATTCATGCTGAATGTGATGTATGGAATCGTTTTAAATGAAACATCGCTCAATCAACGTCACTAGCCTACGTATAAATTACTAGCGAAAGTAATCCAAGTAACCAATATATAATCTGTATAATACATGTTATATTAAAAGTTGATCATACGATTGGATTATTTTCAATTCACTCTGATGTCCATTTAGTAAATAGGATATGATGAAATACCATTTGCAAATAGAATAACGCAATTGAAAAAGGAATTTTGTCATTAAAAAAAGCTATAAATCAAATTAGCCAGTTAAAAATTCGAGTGGATTACGCGCTACTTAAAATTAGAAATCAAGATAAACAGCATCCGATAATCAGCCGACACTTTACAAGACCGCACGGCAGTGTATATAACAGCATGCGTCATTATATCGGAAAACACTTTCGCAGATAGCTATTCGCAATAAACTGTTTTGTACAGCGCAAAAAAAGAGAGAAAAAAAAGATGACGAGATACCGTCAGAACCATAAGCAACAAAATAAAGAGTCGCATTGCTCGCAGATATTTTCTGTTGTATAAAGTTCTTACATATGAGAGCCACACGTAACAAAATGCGGTTCTTCTTTATAACGAAATCTGACACAAGTGCTATCAGATAGAGTGAAGCTCTTTGCTTTCTACCCTTCTTTCAAGCTTCCCTTTGGCTATACGACCTGTCGGCAATTGTAATCGATCTTTTAGCGCACAAGAGTGAGAAGCTTTTCCCCTCCTTGCTTGAGCTTTGAACTGCAAGAAACTTATCGAGTATCTTATAACACTTCAATGACAATAGTATATGAAACAGTTACGCAATATATTTTTACACACCATCGCATTTATTATACAATTTTACCTACACTTAAATTTATTTCACTTAGAACGAAGATGGCAACGTGGGAGAATAGCATAAAACGTATTCTACCACTTCGGTGTCTTTGTTATTGTATTACATTCCAATTTTAAAAAGTTTATGTTGATATTCTAGACGTGGAAATTAAGGTCATAGTAGAATTTAATTTTTGAACGTGTATTTAGAAATTTATTGTTCAATTGTCTTAGAACTGAAAAGTTTAACATGTAAAAAAGTATAAAAATCAATTAAGTGGTTTCTTTTCTCTAATTTGATGATTCCTAACTTAAGGAATACTTTGTTCATTTAGACTTTTATAATGATGTTTCACTACGAGCATTTTGGTCAATAACTAAGTTGATTCAGTGATCAAGACAAACTGATAGAATTGATTTTAGCAGCAACATTCCTGATTCTCTCCGGCGAAAAAGCTTAAAATTACAACTCAACGGTAGTAGACCGTGGACAATGTATTCCCATATAAGAGAGGAGACGCGGCTCACCTTTTAAAATAAAAAAAAAACAAACAAACAAAATTGCAAGTACGCGTAGTCGACGTCCGAGGCTTGCAACTGCACACCCGCGGCAATTTGTCATCGGGATATCGATTTCATACGATAGAACACAGAGAGCGAGCGCTTTTACTTTTCTTTTTCAGTCCTTTTTCCGCTGCTCGCGCTCGCAAGCTCTCGAAACGCGCAGCACACGCGTGGCATAAATATCAAGGACTTTGAAGCCAAATAAATTGAGAGAGAGAGAGGATTGTGTGACACCAGCGAGCTTCGTTACGCGGCCGATTTGCGCTCGACGTCCCCTTCCCCAGCCGCCTTTGGATTTCTTTTTTCTTCCTATTTTCGGCCTTTTACTCTATTTTCACAGAAAAAGAAGCCTCGCAAGAAAATAATTTATGATGCCGCTATATCGATGGCTTTTCGTATTTACTCGCCTGATCCGTGCTTCTCTCTCCCTCGATTTGTGTACATAAAGAAGTAAGAGGAAAAAAAATTTAGGTCTGGCAGAAGCTGAATTTTTCTTATTCGTTTGCGGATTCTTGGGCAAACGGTTCTTGAAAAATTGCCTGAGTATATGCGTGTACTTTGTGCTCTCGTGATTGACGTACATTCAATTTCGTACGGTATTCGTTACAATCCATATCAAGAAAATTTACTTACGCTCTGTCAGTGCGAAATTATCCGATATCACGAATAGCGTACCATGCATTCTTTTCAACGAATACGCACTGTATTCAAAAGTAAGATTTTGTTAAAATATGAAAATTAGCATTTCATCGGCTGCGTCACTCATCGGGAAATTGAAATGTGCCATACGCAGCGTGGACACGAATAGTAAAGATCGTTAGATAATTGATTAGGCTTTCACAATCAGTGGAAAATGAAATAATCGTATTCACACGCCGCTTCCAATTACAAAGCGCTCGGTGAAACAATAATTACATGGTTTTGGTAATTTCGGCTTCTGGGGAAAAAAGAAGTGTGTGCTCGCGTATTCCAACGGTCATTATGTGATTCGTATGCAGGACGTGAGTAAACTTGCGGCGCGCCAAATAAATCACTTCAATTATCGGCCTCACTATTACGGCTTATTATTGCTACATCAGGGGTTTCCTCTGCTACGTGCCTTTGCGGGTGAATCTTTTCTTCTTCTTTTGTAAGATTTTTCGAGACCGAGAGAACGGAAATTGAAACTGATCTAAGGAACTTGATATCCATTTAGCTTACTAATTAAGTTAATTTTAGAAAATAATTTGATATTCAGTTATTTCGAAAATATATTTTGGAAATGATTAATTCATAAAAAGTTGTTTCAAACGTCATTGACTTTTAATTAAGCATTCAGCAGATAGAATTCATTGAGTTCAATAAAACTTTCAATTAGCAGTAGTTTTAAAAGCGGTTTACCTCATGCTAGTAAATGTACCGGTCAAATATTGAAACCGATTCTGTCAACATTCCTCAATGTGATTCCCTGATAAATTAATGGCATGACTCACTCTAAGTTGTTTTCACTTCACTCGAATGTGTACGTAAAGTCCTTTCAATATTTATTTGATGCAACACATGACTCGCAACGAAAATCCCCACACTGAATATAAATTATCCGTATGCAAATACCAGTACAAAGTAGAAACAAGCTCACAAGCAAACAATCGATATTTGACAGGTATAAAGCCAGGAAACATCTGTCCATTTTTCAGTACACAATTTAACTGTGATAGTGTAAGTACCATCAGGTTTTGTAATTACATAAGAAACGTAAGTTTATCCACTACAAATAACTGTTTTATGTTAGTAATTTAATTTTCATATGTATGTATTAAAATACTTATAAAAATGTGAAACTTATGAATTTAATCATATATATTTAAAATTTATAATTTTTTCTAGATCATGCAACCAAAAGCTATGATTTTGTTATTTGTGGTTGCGAGCGTTCTAGTGATGTCCGAGCTCGCTGCTGCTAAAAAATCTCCAAATGGATATCAAGTATGAGATATAAATGACTTGGAAAATTTTTTGCTATTCTATACTAACAAATTAATTAATTGTTCCTTTTACAGTGCAAACGCTATAATAATTGTCTTTCAAACTGTTGTGCTAACAATAAATGCGTCGAGAGTAAGTTGTTTTTTTAATTAAACCGTTACCTTGAAGTCTCTGATTCATATGATACATTACTTTATACATTAGAGTTGAAAAATATGGTTATTATCATGAACTTGAAATGGCGTCAGTCAATATTCGCTATAGTTTAATAATAGTGTAAGAATATAACGACAATATAATACTTTCAGATGCAAATGGATGTCCATGCTCCAACTTGAATAATCCTTGTAATAGAAAATTGCAAGTATGTATACCTCTACAAGTTCAATGCATTAGAGCACCCTGCTATCCAATCGCAAAGTGCCAGCCTCGTTTCTTGTCTGTAACACCAACAAATTAGTTACATTTGTTGCTGCTTATTACTTCGTTTATGTAATTCTTCAATGGAATATCTGATTTGAATAAAATGGAAATTTTCGAGTTTAAATGGATCGCTTGAAAAAATTAATTTTTATCCAGCTACTTGGACACGAACGAAGATTCAAAATTTTCAATTGAATGAATATTTTTTCAATAAATAATATTCGATAGTACATGACTAGTGTATTATATTCATTATGGTTCCTGATTATCTTTACTATACATGGAACTTCAAAATTATTTACACTAATCTTTTAAATAAATCAACGTTCGTATGTATCTTAAAAGATTAAGTGATGAAAAATCTAGATTTTATTTTATTTTATGAAACATATTGCCAATTGATCATGAATATTTTTATTCAGCACAGCATAATTTGTAATGCTTTAAATGTACATTGAATTTCATTGCACTATTTAATATTTTTATAAGCCTGATCATAATTTTGAAGTACAACATTTATGAAAACTTGTGATAAATACCTGGAATAAGCCTACGACTGTTTCTGTGAAATGAATAGGTATAAATATGTTTGACGTATGCATTATTAGACAACAATTAAAAATTGAATTTTGCTTTTATCGGCAAGAGTTATACGGATGTTTGTTTCTGTACGAATATATTCAAGTATTTTTTATATTAATGACTTGCATTATTTGGGTAACTTTTCCATTTGAGCATATATGTTGTTGAATTTTTCCTTGCTGTAACATTGAGTATGTTGGCAAAGTTATCGTAAAACAATGTACAAGAATACGCTTTACATAGTAGGCCTATAAAGATAACCGTCTAAATATTCAAAATTTGCTTTATCTTTCCGTTGAAATATATATTTCTATAGATAAATAGAATAATCAAGTATCACCATAAATAGACGTAATGAAGCATATTATCCAAAAATTAAAATAACATAAAATTCAGTAAATTTATAATTCTCGTAAAAATTACAAGGATACCTCTAATAAAGTTTGAAAATACCGTGTATGATTTTGCGGCAACTATACTTTAAAATATCTACAAAGATAATAATATCGAAAAAAAATTTCCTTATTCGTAACGTACACACAAAACAGATACGAGACAACAATTGAGAGGTATAAAAAGAGACACAAGAAGTTTCTACTCATCAGTGCGATCTTGACTGCGCAAGCGTGTCTTGTATTAAACGAAGACATCGTAACAAAAAAAATGTGAGTTTGATAAAGTAAAGGGTATTCGATGGGATTTCAATTATAAATGCTTTTTTAATTAGATGCAATAAATACAATGTGTAAAATTCAAAACATTCTCGCGTACCAACAACTTTTTCCAACTTCATTTATTTTTATTTATTTTAGACTATGCATTCGAAAGCTATTATTTTTTCCTTCATTGTGGTGAGTATACTAGTGATGTCACAGCTCGCTGCTGGTAGGAAGTGTGTAGTGGGAAATAAGGTAGTTAGTAAAATCTATCAGTTGATCGGATATTATTGTATGCGTTCATAGAATTCATTCTTTCCTTTTATAGTGCACAACCAATTTGGATTGCTGTACAGGATGTTGCTACAACAATAAATGTGCCGGCAGTGAGTTCCATTGTTATAGTTTTACAGAATTTTTATTTTAAGATATCTGACTTTACGCATGTATAATGTAATTGTACGTTTAATTTTTTCAAATATTGAAAGGAGTAATTGATTAGCGTAAATTTAATTTGGATGCAAAAAATCTTCAATGTGAAAATTTAATGAAGTTTAATATGTATTGGATCATGTAGAAATGTAAAAAAAAATGTATTCCTGCAGGTCTGAAATGGTGTCCGTGCTTGGCCTCCAAAAACCATTGTAATAAGAAAACGGAAGTCTGCGTTGCTAAGGATGTTCAGTGCATAAAAGCTCCCTGTTATCCAGTCCCGACATGCAGAACACGCTCGTGAATTGAAACTTATCGCTAGTTTTTAATAATTCTCAATGTTTGAAAATTTTAAACAGTAAAATGCAACAACAAAAAATAGTTTTTTTCATTAATTATAAGTTGAAAAAAAAGAATTAACTGGCTTGAAAGACTCGATTGACATTCTTCGACCAAGCACTACTGCTCTTAATCCATTTAGCATTTCAATTCGATCCTAAATCCGATATCTGTACAATCATTTATTTCCTTTTTAACGCAATGTAACGGCTTTCGCAGTCATTTACAAATCTCGGACATTGCATTCATAATGCTGATGCCTGACGTATCGACTATTCCATCTCCATCTGTTAATGTCTACGTAGCCGAAACGTACTTTCAGATTCAGCTTTCATTCACCGATGCAATGATTTACGCACCAAAGATTTTATCTGGATGCGCCAGTGTGTGTAGAAATTGAATGGTGCTTTGTTTTGGCTAATGGCCCGATATTTCATATTATTCGAAAGCTAGGGACGTAAGCTGGTAGTACAAAAGTGAGAGCATTTCGGTGAAATAAGGGATTCTTTATGCATGCAATGAAAGTGTTTCACGTTCTTTTCCTTCTCATCGAAATACCGACTATATGGATGGCGTTGCGAACGAATGGATTTATCAGAATTTTTTAAAAATGGTTTTTATGGGTGCATGTATGATGTATGTTCCATTCAATCCAAGCTTACAATTTGAATCTGAGCTTAAATTTGCAAATACGTTTACTCTGTTTACTTTTGAATTTATCGTACGATGCATTTGCTATTGATATAATAACACGAATAAAATCAAAATTTATATTAAATAATAATAATGCAATGAATATTCATATTTATTTTAATATGTTTCATATAATATGAATGCCGATCTCAATAATAATTCGTGAATCTCGTAGATAAATATTAGGTCGAGTCATAAGTAACTTCCGACGCAGCTATGTAAAATCTATTATTCTATGAGTTACTATGATCACGAGTTTTTGTTTGCATTAGTTATACGAGGTTTCCATTAGTCTTTTATCAACAACTTTGTATAATACACATTAAAATAAACTACTTCTTTATCCTCTGAAATGGAGAATTAAAAAGTATATATTCGTCATGTGATGCTTTGGGAATTTAAACAAGGTCATAGTACTAAGGCGATAGCCGAAAAAATATACAGAGTGTATGGTGAAGAATTAATAACTGATCTGACAGTTAGAAATTGGTTCGTAAAATTCCGTTCTGAAGATATGACTTTAAAAGACAAACCGAGGACGGGACGTCCTTCCAACTTCGATGACAACCTTTTAAAGACAGTATTGGAGCAAAATCCACCTTAATCGACAAGACGTCTAGCAGAAAGGTTGAATACATTGCAATTAACCGTTATTTGCCACCTGGAGAAATTAGGGAAAGTCAGTAAGTTAGGAGTATGGGTACCTTACAATATCAGAGAACAGAATAAAGAAAATTGCATGTTAATCGCCAGAAGTCTGCTCTCGCGGATAAAAATAAAACCCTTTGCAAACAGAATTGTAACAGGTGATGAAAAATAGGTCACCTACGAGAATACGAGTATAGTATGCAAAAGACAGTGGTTTGCTAAGAATGAACTGCCCCTACCAGATTCGAAAGTAAACATCCATGGTGAAAAAATCTTATTGAGTGTATGTTGGGATTGTCAAGGAATAATTTCTTAACAAATCCAACAGCTGCAAAGAATTCAAAAAAAACTCCGTGAAAAGGATCCTGCACTGGTCAATCGCAAAGATGTCATCCTTCTGCAAGACAATGCGCGACCATATACGGCAAAGGTGGCTCGAGAAAAAATTCTTGAACTTAGATGGTCTGTTTTACCACATCCTCCTTACTCCCCGATCTTGCCCTGACAGATTACCACCTTTTCTGTTCCCTACAAAATTTTTTGAATGGAAAAACTTTCCATTCTGAAGAGCAAATCACGCAGACTGACAAAAACTTCTTCCAGTCCAAACCAGCCACATTTTACAAGGAAGGAATTTATAAACTGCTAGGAAGATAGGAGAAGGTTATAGATAATGGTGGTGAATACGTAATAAATTAATATAATTTTGTGATTTAATAAGAGCAAAATAAATATCTGGCAAAGAAACGAAAGTTACTTATGACTCAACCTAATAGAATGAACCATAATTCAGTGTATTCAAAGTTCTATCAAGCTTCTGTTTAAATAAACAGTCAAATTTAATCACACGGTACAAGCTTATCGATTCTCTATTCCGTATTGTTTTCAAAATTGTATAATACGAATTGTTTAAATAATTTACAGAAGTCAATGACAGAAAGGTTTGTGAACAATAACTCTTAATTGGCAATGTTAAAAACTAAGCGTGTGGAACGTTTAAGTTAATGACGACATTAATGACATTTTTCTGTATAGAATGCTATGTACAAGTAAGGAATTAAGGCGAGGCGGGTCCTGTAAATGGGTGTGCAAATCTAATTGTAAAGCCAGCGTAAAACTCACGTATCTGACTGGATTAGTATGTATAGTGGGAGTTTCACGCAAACAACAGAACAACAAGTTTGTCTTGTAACAAGTGCATTGATAAATGTGACGTCAACTCGACCGGCCCAACTATTGCAATAATCAATTAACGTGTTTACAATCGTTTGCCGTCGTTATTGACAGTCATAATTTTACTTACTTTCATCATAATTTGCACAAATAAATGTCGAATCAAAAGCATAGGCTTCTACTATGATTGATAGTAATTGTAATTTATCTATGCCGGATCGCTCGTATTACTATCAATACGACGAATCATTTGTACAGCAAAAACGTCAATATTGTAAGGTCAATCGATTAATATCCAGTTACTATTTTTTTATATACAATCGCAGCCAACTTATAAAACATGAAATGCGTTAGTTATAAAAGATTTTGCACTTGTAAAATGAGCGGCAGGATAAAAATAGCGTCGTATGTATTCGTCTGATGAAAACAAGTTTCGCATTGTGAAAATCAAACAAAAGAACAATGACATTTGTGATGTCGTATGTTTAGTCACACCGATCACAAAAAAAACTTTCCTGGTACGCAGAATAAACACCAGGCAATTCAAATACGAGAACGTTGCTTTTCCGAGCTATATAAAGAGGGAATGCAACAAACATAAGGAAGACGTTCAATTCTACTGACGTTATTCTATTCCAATTTCAATATAAGGAAACCTAGCATAACTGTAAGCATGATTCAATGGAGTAGCACTACTATTTCATTTTCGGAAAAAATGTGACTTTCAATTGTAATTGTTTTTTGCTTTCATTAGGAAATGCAGTCGAAAACTATTCTATTATTATTTGTCATGGTGACCGTTGTGACGGCTGTCAGTGTACCTCAGAGGGTAACAATTTTTAATATTTATAAAAATTAACAAGATCCATTCTATCGTATATATATAAAACTTCTTTCTTTTCTGCAGTGTACTAAAAACTCCCAATGCTATTCAGGCTGTTGTTATCTAGATACTTGTCAGGAAGGTGAGCATGGCTTGTGTTTTTTTATTATTTAGTAATTTTTTTCAATAAAATCATGACTTTTAGATATCGGTTATTGTCCGTGCAACGTGAAGAAGTGTCCAAGGAATCAGATTTGCAGGTTCCAAATAATACAATGTTTTGTACCACCATGTTACCCGCTTGCTCAATGTCAGTGAATAGTATAAATTATAAACTGTAAGGCCCACATGTATTTGGTTTGAAAACCAAATATCATTACCGTACAATTATATTGATTGTAAAACATAAACAATATGATACTACGTATAATATATATTTTTTCTGGCATAGAATTCTCATACTGTTAGAATAAATATTAGTTTTTATTAGAAATAGACGATGGTTTTATATGCCGATGTGTTTTTATCTAATTTTATAGGATTTACGCTAATATTATCCTGAAAGCTGTACGTTTATCTTTAGTTACATAATATTTTTTGGAGGTGTTCTATCGACTTTTATTATTAAGACTATGTTATTACAATTTACTCAAAATGCATATAGACCTCATATTATTTACGCAAGTGACATCACAATATTACACATACTATGTTGAGAAACAAAATTTTCCTTGTATTCGAAGCAAACACAAAAGTATCATTGTGTATTTTCCGATTGAAACGGTACAATTTGGGTCAATGCCACTTTTCCACATATTGCAATCTTATACGCTTGATGAATCTTATAACATTTGTTAATAACAGTATAGTAGTGTCATATTAAATACTACATTATTTTTTTATATTATTAAAATTGATAATATTCATAAATTTTAATCAATTTTGATAATTGGAATTCCAACGCGTAAGCAAAAGTAAAATTATGAATAATCACTGCCAAATAATTAACTAATATACTTGTTGACATCAATGATGTCACAATATCAGCAATCTCAAGAAGAAACAGATAATTTCTGAGGAAAAAGTGAAATAATTGCAAAACAGACATAATAATGCAGAGAATAATAAAGCCATGCTGATGCAATGTAGGAAACTAACTCCTCAGTTTCTTGGTGAGTTCATAACTGTACAAGAGCTCCCTAATTGGATATCAAGGCAGAGAGCAAGTTTTTTAGACAGTTCAGCTGATATTTTAATCACTGTATTCTTAACTTTTTTTAAATATTGAAATTTTTCTTTTTCAGAACATGAGATTGCCAATTCTTCCCGCGTGCTTCATTTTCGTGATTGCTCTTGTGACGATTCCAGTCACCGGGGATCCGCAATGTCAGCACGGCAATGAAGTAAGCTTCCGTTGCAACAGCTCATATTTTAGCGTTTAATTTCTGCCAATGAAATAAAATGTGATCTTACCGCAGTGTGCAAACGATTCCGAATGTTGTACGGGTTGCTGTATCGACAACAAGTGTGCCGACAGTGAGTTTATTTGTCAATTCATGTACTTAATTACTGCATTGATTGTATTTTGAAGTACGTAACATGTGTCGTTGCAATTCGCTATGAATTTTTTACGAGCATCAGTTAAATTTACGTTAATCATCTTGTCGGCCATGTTTTTGATGATATCAGGCAAAACTTTAAGACAAGTTACAAAGTGGAAGACGAGAGCGTGCGAGTAAAAATGAATAGGGATCATTGAATGGAGAGCCTCAAACTGATGAGACAGAAAGATTTTCAATTAACATTATTCAACGTTTCATTAATTTTGCTTACTCGTTAGTTATCCTAGATATATCCTAGATAAAAGAAACGACGTAATCTATGCCTTCAGATCCAAAATGGTGTCCATGTTCTGAATGGCAATCACCGTGTGACAAGGAAACGCAAGTATGTGTGCCGCATAAAGTACAGTGTGTAATGGCCCCTTGTTACCCACTTCACAATTGCCTTCCGCGTGTTAAACTCTACCGAGATAAGTCCAAATACCATTAATTCGCCACCATACGAATGAGTTATGCGTGTTAACGATGTGATAAGCAAATACACAGCTATTACACCACTGGCATTGTTTTTTTCCAGAAAAGACACTCATGCTCCGTATATAAAATTCCTTCCGCCATCTATCAAGAGCCAACGTCACAAGTATTTACAACGTGAAAGCTCGCTAGTTTTAACGACCTCGCGCGTGTCGAATATGCATTTACGACGAGATAGCGTGAAGAGGCTGGAGGGAAGGGGGTAGGCGGGGTTCTATTCCTTGCGTCGCCTATTTTATCTTCATCTATCGAGCGCTCGGCGCAAAGCGCGACGCATCGGCGTCAGAGGCACGCACGCGCGTGTAGTCGAGCGCATTCTCGGACTTTACGCGCGTTCCGCGCTGATCGATGAGAGATGATTTATCGACACGGCTTCGGCGAGCGAAAATTGAATAGCGCCTTACGCCGCCACCCAATTTTTCACTTTTGCCGTTGGCCAGCGACAACAACACCGGCAAAAAGCGCGCAAAACGAGTGCTTTATTTTTATTGCCTGAAAGAGAAAGAGTAAAATGTGAAAACGTTGTTGATTGGCTCGGAGCACGCGGGGATTGTCCGGATTTTTACCTGATAGGGAGTTGTTGAAAATTTCATGGTTTCTCGGTTTCTCGTTGAAAAATCGGCCGATATCTTCCACTGTTTCTTTATCGAACTCAGATTAACACGCATTTTATAGTCGATTTTGTCGGGTTTCTTCGTTGAAAATACGTATACGTACTGTTTATTAGATAACATGAAGTCAGAACAATATTGGATACTTCTGGAATTTCTCATTGCCTTTTTATCATCGTCGTTGTATTTCAAATCGAAGGATCGGTCCAGCCACAGATTCTACTTTATAGCGTTCTATAATAGAGGTTTTTACAAACGAACAATAAACGATCTTTCTGACTGTTGAAAACGAGTGCAGCGCACTTGGTCAAGGAATAAATACATAAATCCGTACCGACAATCACTCGTCCAATCACAGCAGACTATCCGAAATTTCGCGCAGCCGAACGTCAAAGCCACGAATCACTCGATAGCATTCATACACGTACATCGTACAATATCGGGGACGCGGTCAGCTGGAAGAAAAGAGAGGGACACAAAGCTGGTATAAATAATTGCAGTACGTCGGGATGAATACGCGCTGCATCACCATAGGGAGGGGGAGAGAGAAGAGTGGGTTGGCCCAATTTCTCGGGAGGATCGATGAAAGGGAGCGCACTAAAGGACCCTCGACTCCCGATGACCGATGTCTGCTGTACGGGTGTAACTTTCCTCGTAGTCGCGGTACCACCCTCATCTTTTGCGATCAGGTGAAACGTTCTTTTTTATCTCTTTCTCTTATAAAACAGTTTTTCCAGCTTATAAAACAGTTTGGTGCGTTTTTTATTTTTGTTTTGACAATTGAAATGTAATTAATTCGGCTAACTGCACAAGATCACGTGGATATGGTTATTTATCGATTGCTATTTGACGAAACCAACTTATTATTACTTATCGCATTATGCCAAAGTGAACATTTAATTTAATTGCAATTGCGATGAAACGATAATGATAATTCAAAGAATTAATCGCTAAAACTGTAAGTTGAATAATTTATTGCGAAACCCGATGGCTACGAGCACTTTCTACTGCGGATGAAGAAATGTACGACGCAATTAAGTGCATTATTGATAAAATCGGTGGCGAATGAGTTTTCGCTCGGGAGCTGATAAAAAGTACAACGATAAAAAAAAAAAGAACTAACCTTAAATATTGAGACAAAAGCTTTCGTTTTATTTTTTAACGAAATGAGGTTAAAAAAAAAGTCAATTGACGCTCAGCGCGTGCGAACGGCTTTACGCCCGGTCTTACACGCGCTTGTGCACTGCGTGTATGTACTTTTTGCAACCGCGCGCGTGCGCTCTCTCTCTCTCTCTCTCTCTCTCTCTCTCTCTCTGTCTCTTTGTTTTATGGACCTTTCATTTGGGTCTACCTTTATTCCCTTTTCTTTGCAGCGGTAGCCTCGTTTTTCCCTTTCCTTTTGTCTCATTGTATCTACGAGGCATTAATCTTTATTCCCGACGGAGGAATAACATTACGCTTTATTTAATTTGCTGTTTCGAATTTAACGCTTTGTTCACAAATTTCCAATAATCAAATGTGAAACGAATAAAGACGAAGTAGCTCCCGACAAATAATTTAAGAAGGAAACTGCAGATATAGGTGGAAAAATTGCAATTAACAGGTGCCATTTAACGAAATGTAATATTTATAATGATCTGTTCGAGCTGATCAAACGATTTGAATTTACTTTTCGTAGAAGCGTAATCGAGTACACGTAAAGAGCGGCTCTTCTGAGAAAAGCAAACCGAAGTGCTGGAAATAAACAGATTGATCGGTAGAAACGAAACGTAAGCATGACATCGATTGCAACATTGGCTCTGGCTTCATTGAGCAATGAATAAACGTCAAGAGTTATCTTCGTTTACGTATTTTGCTTCGATTGTAGTTGTATCGATTTTTGGGCCGCATTAGCGATCCAATTGAGACTCGAAATGCCGAAACTGGCCTGGCGGAACCGAAGCATAATCTGACCGGGCAATCGAATGAGGCCGCGCGGGCGCGCGCCTGCGATTCAAGACTAATTATCATAGCTTACGTGCGCTCGCTAATCCGCATATTGAAATATATGTGACGCGCGAGCGCTAATCACGAGCCATCGGTTGCCGCTCTCGTTTGTCTCGCGAAATATGTATCCTCAAAGCGAGCATACTTAATTACTGCTGTCCCATTGATATGCGAGCTCTGCGTTATTCGCGACGAATAATATTAAACGCGAATCGAGCGCTCGCGCGTACAACCGTAATTTCGTCGATGGAAAATTACAAATCGGTCGAAGCTGGCGAGTAGGGGGGCGACGGCCGTCTCCGATGCGGCGTGTGTCTCGTTTCGAGTTTTTTTGGCGCGCCCCGTCGACCCGGCAATAAGTCGAGAGAGCAGCTTGCTGCGCGCACAAGGCGAAAGCCCGAAAAGTGAATTTGGAAATTGACTCTCGCACCAGCGCTCTCTCACTCTCGTCTGCGCGTACGTGTGCACATTCCGCGAACCGAAAACCAAAGCTCCGCTCCCACCGTCGAAATACCCTCGTGACGGAGTTAATAACGTTTTGTCATTGCGCTGACGCGCGAACATGCTCTCTGCGCGTGAAATATTTATTTATCGCTGCTCGCGCATGCGTTCTTCATTCGTCGCGCATGGCAAGCTTCAATTTTCTCCCTTCCTTTATTTCTTTTCTTTTCCTCTTTTTCGTCGCGGCTCAACTGGATTCGTACGAGATTTTCATTAGTTTGATTGCGGGGTGCGAGTGCAAGAACTGTTAGTGGGATACATTCTGAGAAATGTAATTGGGAGCCCAACTAGGTGCGCATTTGCTTAATGAACGCGCTTTACGATATTAATGGCAAATATTGCCAGGCAAAGTTATTTGTGGATTTTCTGTCACTTTCTTGGATGGATTTGTCGCTTAGAACTAATGCCATCGATAGTGTGCCCTTTTGAATGTTCGAGTTATTACAATTTAACAAATACGAGACATGAAAAATAAGCTGCATTTCTAGCTTTTTTTTCAGGCGTCTATTGCCCTGGCATCGTATCCCTCTAATTGGATTAGAAACTTATTTATTTGTTGTTATCTCGAAGCTTTTACGTATCCACGAATGTTCCATAGGAATAAGCAAAGCCTCTCAAGTTGAGAATTTTCACGATGCAAAGAGCTTGAAAAAGGTCTGTAATCTCGCTGGGACTGGCCACTCGGCATGGGATCGTTCTCAAGCCCAGCGCGTAGCGCATCGAATGGAGAGAAAAACAGCGTTGTCGAGTCTGCGTCGTTTAGGCAGCTAGCCAGTGGCGCGCATGGTGTTGATCCACAAAGCCAAAGCGAGCGTCGATATATAGCGATGCAGTAGCAGCAGATTGGCGCCGATTGAAATGCCTACGAGACTCTCTCTCTCTCTCTCTCTCTCTCTCTCTCTCTCTCTGTCGCTCTGTATACGTGTGTGCTCACGCGCTTAAGGGAAGCATTAATAGGTCGGCTTTGTGCGGTATCCCAAAGAAACCATATCGATGAATAATTCAATGGCCCCCATGCGACCGAGTAATCGGCTGTGCAGCCACCATCCGCCGCTGTGCTGGCGCTCGCCGCTATACAGATGTATAAGGATTGCGCGTTTGCCTAAACCCAATTGTCGAGAGGTCAGCTGTGGCCTCTTCAGCCTCGTGTTTATGCCTTCTCCCTCTGCGCTACTTCGCTCATTGCTTGCGCGCCTGCGAGTCTCTAACGAGACGATTTTCTCTTTAGTTTATTATTCCCTTTATAGGTTCCCTCGCCCTCTCGCTCGCTCACCTCTCGCTCGCCATGTTTGCCAGGCATGATTCAAGTCTTATTTGCTATTTATTTTCAATGAGATATATTAATTACCGACTAATTATTCACGTTGCATGACCGAATAAACTGATATGGTGATTAAGACGTATCTTCAACATATTAGTTTCTGTGCATATCAGAGCTCGTTATCAATGAACAAACGATCGATCATATGTCTAAAAACCAATTAATTGGATTTTCGATGAGTCATTAAAGAGTCCCATATAAACGCTCGTTGTTCGCTTGACAAAAATAAAACTATTCCGGTCGCGAACAGACAATTTTAGATTCGATTGCTCAATGTTGTTTTCAAAATGCAATTACATTTTAATAGAAAGTTATGATGGTCTTTGATAATCAAAATATCGATTTACTTGTTATTGTGTTAAATTGTGTTTCTCATTAACTTAGGTCAGGTGAGGCAATAATTGCGATACTCGAGCCTGCCAAAGCCAACCTTTGACATTTGCCTTGTCATTATTGCCGTCAGATATTGGAGCGTCTCACATGATCATTAAATTACAGCAGTTATTCGCCGCGCAAGTCGACGTTCGGATGCCGATTATTGCACACGGCGCAACAAAGCGGAAGACAGGACTGAGAAGTCGCGACGATCCAAAAACT